GGAACTCAAAACATCACAAGCTTGTGTGTTAAATAACAAAACCATGCTTTCATTTTGGAGTTGTTCTTTTGTTACCAGTTTTCATTTGAACAAAAGATTATTATAATAAACAGATGATGGACTTTTTTCCAGCCCCTGCAGAAACATTTGAGATACTAGTGGAGGTATAACCCAGGATTATTGGGCAAAACATTTAGTGCAGCACACCAATTAAGTTACTACGCCTCTGAAATTAATCTAACCACGTAGGTTAATTCAATAACTACTTGCTAGTGTCAACATATGAATAGCTTCACATTGGCAACAGATTACTTGTTAAATTGCATTTATAGTCAGGGCATTCTGCAGGACATAACCAGCCTCTGGGTTCGAGCTGTGCTTTTGAGATGGGAAGTCTGGCCCGGCACACGGATCTCGCAGTAATATTGGTCATTGATCTCAATCTCATCTTTGTCCATCTAAATCATGAGAGACCTTTTCAAGAGCAGGAGCACAATGATAAAAAGCTTTTCAGTCAAGGATCACTTTAATAGGAATTTTACAACTGCCTGCAGTACAGAAACTTTGAAAAAATCCCGATACATTTGCAAATGAATTAAAAAAAAAGTTTCTCCTGGAAACATACATGTCTCATACCACTGTACTGTAAACTTACTGTGATCTGTCGGCCTGGTGAGAGATTTAATTTACAGACTAATGCTGCAAGCATGTTGTAGGGAGAAGAGTTACTTAGCACCAGTAATGAGCAGAAAGGAAAAGGCAGCAGCTACAGTCCCCATGGACTGTTACATTTTCCATAATTTCAGACTGTCTAATAACGCCTTTTAATAAGCTGCTCTCAGCTATAAAGCGGCAATCAGCCTTTGTCAGAGAACATAATACTGCCCCAGACAGGAAAATAGTTTAGATATAATGGACAAAAGACCCCATCTAAACAAAAGCTTCTTATAAAAAAGAAAGGAGAAAAAAGTTCCATCAGTGAAAGACACAAATTATGCTGTCTATACCGCATATCCTTTCATTTCTAACACACTAGATTTCAAATCGCTATCTACTAAAGCAAAACACATTCTGAAATCACATTTTCTAGTTTAGTCCAGTTCTACTTTACAATTAAACGAACTTGCTTAGTTACTGAAGCTCAAGTGTCACTATGAAAGCCTAAGATAACTACACAATACGTAAAACACTGATGTTCTACTCCATTAAACACAGGATTCTTCAAAACATGGGGTCACCTTCACTGCTGACAAATGTAGGTCCAACTTCACTTATACAAAAAAACCCCAACAAAACAACAAAACCAGCCATGCCACCATAAACTGGAACTAAATCTACGCAACATCTGGGTTTAAAAGTTGGTTTTTAAACCATTACCAATTCTGAAATAATTTGGAATCATCCTTTTAGTACATGTATTTCTTAATTGTTACAATTCAAAGCACCGACAAGATGGAAATGAGATCACTTTTTTCCCTAGGAATTCTTCTGCTCTTTCCCATATTATGATCCTTTCCTTTCCAGCAACAGACTTACTGTGACAGCAGTTATCACATCTTACAGAGCAGTTCAGAAACATGCTTAAAACTCAAATAAGACACATAGTCAAAAAAAGAAAATTCCCCAATTACTAAAACCAGCACAAAATCTGTTTGTCCTGAAGAAACACCTATCACCTTAGCAATACAGGCAGAGACCTCTGTTTAACCTTTTTAATGTCATTCGCTGAAGAGTTAGCACAAACCACTGTGCTATTTGGTTATTGCACTTTGCTCTCAGTTAAGGAAAAATAAACTTAGCACTCAGAAAAAAACAGATAATTTGTAGCAAGATGTTAACTTTCTTCTCTTGATACATTTCTGCCACACCTCATGGGAAAGGGAACTGACTGTATCTGTGACTGGCAAGTCACACTTTCTCTGAGGGGTGCCAGATAATAACAGCACGTCAACACACTCCCAGCCAAACGCTCCTTTTGCCAATGAGATTTCATAACGCTTCCTCCACTTCTGAAGCTCTCCAAATAAAGGAAGTGCTAACTCCCTGTTAAAACATAGTCCAAAGGACCCAAAACTGTCTAATGTCTGAAATCTTTTTGCACAGAAATAGAGGAAAATTACCTTTCCTTCCCCTTGTTTTTTTTTTTTTAAAGCTAGAAGCTGTGTACTTTTCTCTAGCTAGTGGTAAAATAAGAAGGGGAACAGGTATGAAATTCAATTAAGAAGCACCAAGGGTAGAGCAGAGCTGAAATGCAAGTTTCTCAAGCTGAAAAAATTCTCAGTGAAATACAGGCTTCCAATCAACTCCGACAAAACGCTAACAAGTACTGAGTTAAAGTGTGAAGCAGCAAATACTTTAAGAACAAGATCTCCCAATATTAATTAAAAAAACCCCAACAACATTTATCAGGAAGTTCAATATACATCTAGAGTCCCAAGTAGTTTCTCCACACTGAGCTAAAAACTCAGCAATAAGAGATTTAAATCCTCCTACACTGAGTTTATTCAGGATTCTAACTTGTCAGACTCTCCCCTCTCCAGAAAGACACCATCTGATAAAGAGAGCAACACTTGCACCTATCACATAATGAGAGCTTCTCCCCCCTTTTAAAACTTGTTTCTAATTGCAAGCTATTTCATGCTGTCTCAGAAATACTGGGAAATAACGGTAACGTGTAGTTGTACACCCAGAGCTAAAATAAGAGGTCACAGAAAGGGCTTCTCGCTGCCTTTTCCTAGCAATTCCCTGTCATTTCAATACACAAGGTTAAATTACTCCAGAAGCCTCCCTACAGGGCTGCCATTGTTTGTCAGTTAAGGCTGGGACACAATGGCACTCATTCATGTGCACAGCAAACAAGCGGCTAAGGGCCAACCATCAGCATACAGTCTCATTTTGGTTCTTCTGCAAACAGTTTGTAGAAAGACGGCATTTCAAATAAACTATGTCAATTTTTCAAAGCTTCAGTGCACTCCTAGTACAAACTACTTAGTAGGGAGTCCAGACAAAAATTAACTTGAGAGCAACGTGAAAAATCACCCAAAAAACCCGCTCAGTCATGAGGTCTGTTCCTGAAAAAGGATCTGCTTGCTACAACCACATGCAAAAAGATTACGTTTTAATAGTTAAAGAAATACACATTCAGAAAAGTCCAAAATAGCTGATTCTTTCCAAAGACAGTCATACCATGCTTTTGTTTTTAGAGCACCACTTAGTGTTCAGCCTCAGAGCTTATGTTACTAAGGGGTACAGACACCAAGGTTCCAAAGTGCACTTAAGGATGTTTACTTCATATCTTCTGGTTAAGAACCCAAGAGGTTTTGGGTTTTAGGGCTTTTAGCATTCGGGGTTTTTTTGTTTTGCTTCCCCCCCCACCCCCTAACATATTAAAAATAGAAAAACCAAATGCAGTATGTCAGAAGTCCATTGTTGCTGTTAACTGGAGAGACACAAGCCTCACGCACCTCTTCATTGTTTTGCCTTTTCTACTTCAAAACTTGCTAGAGCAAAGACTTTGTCTCCTGATCCTGTGAGAGGAAGCAACATTTTCAGTAAATATTAGCAGAAATTGTGAATTTCCTTATATACAATTTAAATCAAGCAAAACATTTGAGATCGAACGAAATCAAACCTACATTTTGAAAACTAGAAAACTTGAGCTAATTTGAGAAAAAAAAAAAGAGACACATACTGGCTTGGCAGGTCTGATACCAGTCATGCTGTACTGAGCCTGGCTGGGATAGAGTTAACTTACCCCATAGCAGCTCTCACAGTGCTGTGCTTTGTATTTGTAACTAGAACAGTGTTGATAATACATTGATATTTTGGCTACTGCTGAGCATGTGCTGGCACAGCATTAAGGCTGTCTTGCCCCCCTAAAGGCCAACAGGCTTGGGGTGGGCAAGAGGCTGGGAGGGGACATATCCAGGACAGCTGACCCAAACTGACCAGAGGGATATTCCACACATTTTGACAATGTGCCCATAATTGCCAAGTTCTCTGAATCAAGCAGAAGAAAAGGCTCTCCTGGAGAGAGTCATTAATGCAAAAAAGATCCGTGTTTAACTGTAAGAGTGGTCTCTCTGCTTGAGACAGACGATTCGAACCTTCAGCGTTATGGACAACACTTCACATTTTATGGACATTTGGCACTGGCTTTATTTGCGGCATTACTTTCCCCTCATCAATAGCATATCAGTTAAATTGTTAATAAAATAGAAAAACATACATCAAAATTTAATGGCATGAATCTTCTGTTCACATTTTATCTTTCATAGGGGAAATCACAGGTATTTCTATTAATCAGCGTTCAATGAGGCAAAAAACCTGGAAGTTAGGAGAATGAAAACTTACCAAGGTCAGTGGAGACTCTCTCAAACTGGCTCAGGGCTGTACCAGCATTTGCTGACAAGAACATCTCATCATCGGGGGTGAGCTAAATCAAAAAAGGCCATAACTGTGAACTTGATACCTAAATTGTGCAAATTCCCACCACTGTAACTCCCAAAAAATCATCTAATGAGTAACACGAAAATATGCAGCTTTGACCATGTTAAGAGTCAATGACCTAGAAATGGTTCTCTTCCTTTAAAATGACATTTGCATATGAATACTTTGCTTTTATGTATGTGTTCTGATGCCTTGTGACAGGTGCCCATAAAATATTTACAATAATGAAGTGGTAACCTACATTTGAAACGTTCAGATATTCTACGTTAAAACTTGCTTATTTAAGTAGCCTCAGATACATATCGTTGTCAAAACAAAGCATAAGTGTGTCAAGCTGTCCACAGTGTTTGTGTCACTTTATTAAACAATATAAAAATCAGGTACAGGCATTCAGAATTGTGTCAGAATGAGGGAAAAAGTATTAGTTACCTGCCTTCACTGTGCTTTACAAGCAAGAACCTAACTACTTAACATTTTGCAGTATTGTGCAGACAAACATGTAATATTTACAGTGTTTTCTCACATTCAGAACAGGTACAAAACTACTATCCTAGCAAGTCCTCTGTGAAGTGGGTTACTTCATGCACCCTCAACCAAAAGAAAGAACTTCTCTTCCTCCCTCTAGTGGTAAAAAAAAAAAGAGATTGTTCTGTCACTGATGTACTCACGGGGGAAACAATCAATCTGTTTATTACTCATCTCTCCAATTTATTTATCTTACACCAAGAGGTAGGTATTATCACCAATACAAAATTCAGTAAAGCTCAATGTGTACGAAAAGTCTTGGGTGGTTCCTGCAGGTGGATAGGTGGTAGTTAGCCAGCAAGAGAATAATTTTGTAGCTTTTATAAATAGCAACTTATACCAGCTTATATGCGATTCATTCACATAGCTCAAAGAAAGCATTTTGAAGTAAAAACAGCCTTATACAAATGTACAGTACTATTTGATATATGTTCAGTAGTGAGTATATTTCAGAAAGCTTAGTGTTAAAATGGAAGGACGTTTACATACTTTATAATAATAAATAAAAGCAAGCTTTTTATTATTTGCTCATAAACAAAAAAATGTAATTTATTATTTTAATGATTTCTAATTCCTCTCCAATACATAGACAGAAATTTCTATTCACCTATCACACCAACACCTTACCTTCTCACCAAGCTTTCTGAGGGCAGTCAGGATTTCCACTTTCTGCTGTGTATAGAGGTCTCGTGCCAACTTCCCAACCATTAAGTCTCGGTCCATCTGTATACCAGGGAGGACATAAGTCAAAATATATACACTTTCCATTAGTTTCACTCAACACAAGAGAATGAGCAATGCAACAGCCTAAAAATATCATCAGTAAGTATGGTACCCATGGAAGTAACAAAGATGATTGAGGGAGTGGAGCATCTCCCTTATGAGGAACGGCTGAGGGAGCTGGGGCTCTTTAACTTGGAAAAGAGGAAACTGAGGGGTGCCCTCATTAATGTTTATCAATTTGTAAAGGGCGAGTGTCAGGAGGAAGGAGCCAGGCTCTGCTCACTGATGTCCAATGACAGGACAAGGGGCAATGGTCCCAAGCTGGAGCATAGGAGGCTCAATCTGAACATGAGGAAAAACGTTTTTACTGTGAGGGTTACAGAGCACTGGCCCAGGCTGCCCAGAGAGGTTGTGGAGTCTCCTTCTCTGGAGACATTCAAAACCCGCCTGAACACGTTCCTGTGTGACTGCTCTGGTGATCCTGCTCTGGCAGGAGTTGGACTGGGGGAGCTTTCAAGGTCCCTTCCAACTCCTGATATTCTATGATTCTGTGAAGTAAGGGACAGAGTTACTCGTCATTAAAAAGATGGCCATTAAGTTTTCCTGACCATTCTGCAAGTGCTCTTTGCATCTACCCTTAGCATTCTTGGTTTCTCCAATTCTGAATCTCTTTTAATCAAAGATTAAATTAATTCAAAGTTATGGATTCACATTTCACTGATACATGGAGAAATCACATTTCATTTTACTTTATCTGTATCTCAAGTTCAGTCTAGATCTCTGAAACATTGACTGTACTCTCCAGCCCCTCAATAAAATTACAGATTGATACTCTTCGATTTGCTATTTGCAGTTATACTCGCTTCATTATCTCTTAATCACATTTTTCTTTTGAAGCAGTGAGATAAAAGATAATTCAAGAAATACACATTGTTGTCCCCATTACCTCAATGAACATTTAAAGCTGAACAAATTCTGAAAGAGAACTTCTCTTATGCTGCTGCCACCAAGTTTACTAACACACTTGGTGCTCTCCTTTTAATAATTACGTATGTAAATCAGACTAGCTCAAATAAACAGTTTTTACAGTAAAACAGAAACCTTCACCTCTGCCAACCTTGTCCTCAATTGCCTTGGTTGTTTCTTTGCAAACATTCTAATTACTTCTGGAGTTTTAAATGCTTGGCTGATGGCTGCTTGTATTGCCTACAAGGAAAAAAGAAAGAATGACCAGAACTAATAGCAGTCACAAGTTACAGCTGCATGACAAGATTAATGAAGGCTGGAAAGCATCATTAGTATCCTCTGCATCATTTGATAAAGAGAGCTTTTCTTTTTTTGCATAACCATTGAAGTGAGATGAAAAAAAATGACCTTTATGCAGGGTTTGAATAATCCACTAATTAGCACAACTACACTGAGAAAGTGCTGTGAAACTTTTCATTACAGTCCATGTCTTAATTTTTAATAACTTCCAACATCTTCCTGATATTAGCACATCCACATGTGACGTGCTATGTTATCTTTAGCAGTTTTAATGCCCACGCTGATGATTACAGCTCTTCTAAGGGTAAGCAGAATGTAAATGATGAGGTAAATCTTCTACTGTTATTCAAAATCCTCTACAGAGTATCAAAACTACTATGATTAAATCTCACCACAGTTACGTTTGGACAAATCATGATCTCTCTGGAAACACAACCCTAAAACACAGAGCTCAGAAGGAACAAATAATGCTCTAATGAAACATTTGAAAAGAGAGAAAATAGATCAAAAGTCTGGAAGTCAGCGCAATATCAGATCAATTCACTAAAGTAACTTAAAATCCACACAGCCACTCCTACAGCCTTTTCATTTGGACCGGAATTAAACTGAAATACAAATCGGCAATAAGAGCACAGGAAACGTTATCTTCATACTTTCTAATAAATAGACATTAACTTTATTTTTCATTATATACATTGTCCTGGATCATCCCTCACACCTTTAATATTTCTTTGTATTATTTTATGTTATCTTCTAATCTTAAGGATCTGATATATTTAGTCCCTGCAACTTCCCACAGTTTTTTTTATAGTGTTATGGTTATAGTTCTTCAAATTTTTTTCCCCTCTTAAAATGAAGAGACATAACCAAGTTTTTATACTTACACATATTTTAAAAGAAGTCTCAAAATTATAATGAGCCACTTGTATTTATTTTCTGTTCCACTGAGTCCAAGACATGAACTATCTTAAGTGATGCATCATTCTTACCAGTTGCATTCCACTGAGCTCATCCACCAAAGTCATATCTCCAGACATGATCTTCTTCAGCGAGTCATTGATCTCACTCAGCTGTTCTAGAGTTTCTTTTTTGGTCTCTTCATACTCATCTGCATCTAGCTCATCTCTAAAGAGGATCCAACAAGACAAATTAATTCACAGGATTAAACCCGAGATGTTAACACGCAGAGAAGGACATCAGGGAATATCACGAAGCACGCTTCCTCAGATACCAATGAAAACATTTTCATCACTTCAGATTACTCTGCTTTAGCCCTCTTAGCTGTTATTTAGCTAATGTGTATGTAGTTTCCTTGGTTTTGCACCACCTCCCAGCTCCCCATGAACTTGTGCTGTTTGCATGAAGTCACTTGTATTAAAAAGGCCCTGGCAAATACGATACACTTGGTGCAATACTTAAAAGTGTATTTAGGATCTCAGCAAAGATCTGCAGTGAGACTGTCTTGCACAAAGCTACAGTGAATGAAATTATCCAAGAAACCCATCTCCTTACCCCAAAACCATCAAGTTATTAAAAAATATCTGATGCTGCTGTCTAAACTTTGCCCATTTCAAAGAATGGCATTACTGATGCTTAGTGGTTATAACTGTTCTTGAAAAACATGTTCTGCTTGGACAAATTAGAATTACAGTCAGAAAAAGCATCTAAAACAACACAGGATGTTTAAGTGCAAGTACTGAAACAGAAAACCCAAGCAAACAAACTTTTCCTTGGTAATTCAGTCTCACATTTTATTAGCTAACACAAAAATCACATGAAGCAAACCACATGAAAATGTCAGACAAACAAAAAAACCCCAACCCCAGACATCCACAATTATAAGACAAAACAAAGCAGACACAAAAGCTGTTTTCTAACTGCTATTAAAAAAGCTCATATGAAAATTGTGAATTCTGTGAACAGCTATTAACAGCTTAAAAGACAAAATAGAAAATTTCAAAGAAAACACTCATGAGTATTTCTGCCCACATTTTCCTCAAGATGATAAATACAACAATCTTAATAAAAATGAAGGGTTTTTAAACATAATTTTCAGTACCTAACACAAACACCTTACTTAATTTGAAACCTATAAAGCTACAGCAAAATACAAACTAAAACAAAAAACCCGTAAGATTTTTGAAAAGTACCGTCTTCTTCTGCCAACCACTTAAAAATATTACCATATAATAATAGATAATTATCTAAAAATAGATGCTTTTTTCTTACCTGCATTCCTCCAGATCTTGAAGCTGCTGCATTAACCTGTCCAACTGCTCTTCCAAGTTCTGTTTCAGTTTACTGGTCTCTGTTGTTCCTCTTGAAGCCATTTTCTGTTTTCATATGAAAACTTTGTTACGTGACACTTCTAGGAGAAGGTACATTTTACTGCTCTCTATCAACAACTTAAAACTTAGTTTTAAATGCTCCAAGTAGGAATAAAATCATTCAGTCTCTTGATGATGGCACATTTAACCAAAACACTTGGAGATCCTCACAGTGGAAATACAGAAACGTTAGACTGAGTCTACAGGATTGTCCTCTTCATAGCAAGAGGTAGTTCAGCAAAGTAACAACTCAAACAAGCAGCAATTAGTGAAATAATGAGGTCCTGCAACATGAAAGGGACTCTGCTCTTCAACTGGCCCTTGAGAAACTATTTAGGAGACAACAACTGGGATGCACGCAAACACCTTAAAGGGAACCATTAGCTACAGAGAACTAGAGCACTCCAGAGGAAATTCGCGCTTCTCTGGGTGTCAAACAGCAGCAGGCGGTGGTCAGCGGGACATCCCCGGGTCACCACCGGCCCCGCAGTCGCTCCCCAGCAGGGTCTGAGGTTTGCACTGACACCAACGCCTCAGGCAACCGGAAGAGAAACTGAGAAACACAATTTATCCCTACTGGGAAGGTACGAGGGGAGAGCGCACAAGCACTCTGGAGGAAGAAGAACCGAGAAGGCAGCTCTGGACAACTCCCCAAGCCCTGTCTACCCCCAAGGCCAGGCTCCAGCCCGGCTCTTCCCCTTCACGGAGGTGAGTCCGCCTAGACCCCCTCCTGCAGGCAGGGCCACACGCACACAGGAAGGAGGCAGCGATCGCCCTCTCTGCCCGCCTCGGCCTCAAACACCTCCCCGACCGCCGCCCGGGCCCCCCGCCGCCTCACCTGGGGCAGGCCGCGGCGGGCGGAGCGGGGCTACAGCACGAAATAAGGGGCAACGGAGCAACCTCCGACCGGCGCCGCTTCCGGCGTGTCCGGACCAATGAGAGCTCGCCGCCACCGCGCCCGGGCCAATGAGAACGCGCCGCCGTCGCAGCACCGAGTGCGGCCCCTCTGCGCGGAGCTGGC